CTGTGCTTTGGCTTCTTTGCGCTCCAGTGCAATTTTCAGAGTCTCTTCTGACATCCATTTTGGCCTTTTCTTCCTCTTCTGTCTTTGCAATGACCGTTTGCACTCTTCCTGGATGATACCCTTGATATCCTACCACAACTCATCTGGCCTTAGTTCATTAGTGTTCAAAGCCTCAAATCTATTCCTGAGATGGTTCTGAAATTCAGGTGGGATAGACTCAAGGTCATATTTTGGTTGGGAAATTAAAGTTGAGTAGCTGGGAAAGTAAATCTAAAGCATCTTCTTTTATCTTTTAACATCACGCTATGATTCTAATTTTTTAAAAAAATATGATAGTGCCTACCTCAGAATCCCATGGTGAGTCGTCTTCTCTTAATCCTGTTGGAATCATGTCTATAAAATATAAAAATAGGCACACTGATAAGAATATTTATTATGTGACTATGAAATATACATGTCAATCTCACTCATTCATGAGTATTTTTAAAAAGTAAAAATGATACAAAATTATTTGGGAGGTTGAATCAATTTCAGGTAAAAGTTGTTGATCTTTTGGGATATTTATGAAAAGAATCAATCCAAGAAAAATACGTAAGTGCAAAAGATTTTCTTAAAAGCACAATTTCACTCAAGTTCTTTATAGTACTATTTCAGTAGAGAAAATTTTTCTAATCTCCATGAGCTTACTGTTTGTATTTTTATGTGCTTCATCAACACTAGTCAAGTTTTCTCTATTTCTTTGCTCTCTTGGAGCATCTTCCAAACTTTCAATACCCTTTTCTAGTTCTCCAATGGCTAGTGTTGTTTTTCCTTCTACCTATAATTGGAAAAGAAGAAAACCAACTTTAGAAAAATATTATAATCATCTACTTCCTCCTTCAATCAATGATTAAGGCAACAAACACTGAAATATAAGAGTCCATTTTGCACACATATTAGTAAGGGTAGAAATACATAAAGATAAATGGTAGAAAAGTATAATGTATTAATTCTACAAATTAATAAAGTACAGTAAAAGCACAAAAGAATCAATATTCTACTTGATAGGTATAAGAAATGCTACATAAATGAGACTATATCTTGAAAAAGAGACAAATTACCAAGAGATATTAGAAAGAGCTGTCTAGCCTAAGCAAAAGGATGTGGTATGAGACAAGTTGTTGAGCTAAAAATACCAAAGCAATATAATAATACAGGAAGGCAGTTCTCAGGAGTAAGAGTAGCAACTTCCATGTAATAGGAAGGCACCAATGTTTACGCTTAAGAATTAAAAATGTCAGGGAAGCTCTGGTGGTCTAGTGGCAAGAAGCTGCAACTACAATCCCCGAGGTGCATGGTTCGAATCCACCAGATGCTTTGCCGGGGAAGGAGGGGCAATCGCCTCCTGTACCAGTCAGATCTGATTTGACGGTACACGCACACAAAAATAATAAAATAAAATTTTTTTAAAAAGGAAAAAAAACAATTAAAAATGTCCCAAATAGTTCTAAAAAGGTCACTGTGGCAGCAAAATAAAGGTAAAATGAGGGCAATGTCTTCAGTTTGGACAGAATAAAATTGAGGCACCTAAGGTGGTTGGAATATGATTTAGACAAAAATACCTGGGGAAGAGGTGCATGACCTCTTTCAGGAAAAGATGTAGTATAAAAAGAGTAATTTTAAAAATACGTGCAAAGGGAGGTCTGGTGGCCTAGTGGCAAGATGCTGCACTGCAATCCTAGAGGTACACAGTTCAAATCCACCAGATGCTCTGCTGGAGAAGAAGGGAGCAATCTCCTCCTGTACCAGTCAGATCTGATTTGATGGTACACGTAAAAACAATACAATAAAAATTTTTTAAAAAAGAGTTTATTAAAAAAATACATGCAATGGAAAGCTAAAGAAAATGCAAACACATTGGTGCAGAGGCAGGTCTGATTCATAGCTGATGCTTCATCAGATTTTCAAGGGTGTAGATTTCTCAGAAGAACATGGACCATCTTAACCCCTTTGAGCAGCTGTTGGATTCAAATTGATTGAGAAAAACAGACTTTGGGTGAGCAGACCAAATCTCTGCAGAGCATGGCCCAAGAGGGTGCTAAAAGTTGTTGTTACTCGAGTAAGCTAAGATGTGTAAGGATTCTATCAACAACAGATCTAAATCTTGACATATTCTGTGCCATCATCATGATCTCTTATATACTTGAGCCTAATTTACAGTGATTCTATCAACTCATATTGTTGAGGGTCTTCTTTTCTCTGATGCTCTACCTTTCCCACCATGCTGTGTTGTTTTGTTTTTATTTCCCCCCCCTGCCCCCAAGGACTGGCCTCTCTTGAAAATATAACCGATATATGTAAAAGGAAACTTCACCAGCCTTACCTTTAAGGTGTACTCTGGTGCATCATAGACAGATTTGTTTGTTCTTTTGGCAATCCATGGGATAATCAGTATTCTTCAATACCACCATTCAAGAGCATTCTTTTTCACTGTCCAACATTCAAATGCATAGAAAACAACTGTCAATTCCATGACTTGGATCGGATCAGAGCACTTGAGTTTTTAAACTAAAATCCTTGCTGCTTATTACTTTGAGAGGTAGCTGACAGCAGATTACCACAGTGCAACACATCTTTTGAGATTGTTTGTTTTGTTTTAACCACTTCATCTTTGAGTGTTGATTGTGGATCCAAGTAAAATTACATTATTGACAGCTCCATTTTTTTTCTCCATCTATCATGATATTGCCTATTGAGCTAGAATTGAGCATTTTTTTTCTTGATGTGGAGATGTAATCCATAATAGAGGCTAGGTCTTTTTCTTCAGTATACTTCAAGTCTTCTTCATCTTATGCAAGCAATATGGTGTTATTCTCACAAGTAGGGTGAGCCTTCCTCCAACCCTACTGACACATTATTCTTCATATACTGCAGCTTCTGAAATGGTGTCCTCAGCATATAGATTGAATGTGTATTTAGAAAGAATACAACTGTGATGCACAGCTTCCCTGGTTTTAAATCATGTAGTATTTCCTTATTCTCTTCGGGCAATTGATTCTTGGTCTAAGTATAGATTTCACATGAGCATAATTACATTTTCTGTAATTTTCATTCTTCTCAAAATTAAACATAATAATCCACACAGTCAAACGTCTTTGCATAGTCGACAAAACACAAGTAAACATCTTTCTGATGTTCTCTGCTTTCAGTCAAGATTAATCTGACATCAGCAATGATATCGCTCCTTCCACAGCACCTTCTGAATACAGTTTAAATGTCTAATAATTTTTCCACATTATTAGAAAATTAAAGAAATGTCTAAAAATTTTAAAAATTAAACCAAGTCATTGTTGTCATGTGCTGACCAGTCACTCATAGTGATTCAATGAACAACAAATCAGAATCTTGACCTATTCTGTGCCATCCTCATGAACTCCAACATACTCTAGTCAATTGTCTCAGTCATTGTGACAGTCCTCCTTGTTGAAAGTCTTCCGGTCTTTCTCTGATTCTCCACCTTTCACAGCATGATGTGATTTTCCAAGAACTAGCCCTTCCTGACCGCATGGCCAAAGTAAATGAGACAATGAAAAGAATAGCTATTGTGTATAGCTGAGTCAGAATTGACACATAGCTGACCCTCCAGCAGGTTTTCAAAAGCAGTAAATCACACAGAAGGAGACTGCCCATCTTTCTCCCATGGAACAGCTGGTGGATCCAAACTGCATATTTTTACATCAGTGGCACAATTCTTCAACACTAAGTGTGGGTATTTATAGTATTAGACATATAGTCAAGGTAGGAAGTCACTAAAAATGAGTAGAAACAGTTCAGAGAGATCCCTAGGATGACTAGAGAGATGATTCATTGGAGAAGGACACCATACTTGGAAAGACTGAGAAACAGTGAAGGAGAAGAAGATTCTCAATGAGAACATGGTGACTTCTGAAATGGGCTCTCCTGTGTCAGGGATGATAAGTATGGCACAGGCTAGGGCAGGGATCAGGTCAGCTGTTCCTAGGGTCCCAATGAATCATACTGGACTCAATAGTACCTAACAACAAAAACAACAACCACAATAGGCCACCAAAGAAGAGCAAGTGGCAAAAATGGGATTTAAGGTTTAAAACATGTATTTCAACATTTGTTCAAGGTTACAAAAATACTTAGGCATTTATGCAAATATTCATTTCTAGTATAGAGCAGTAATGTACATTTGTAGGTTTAATAAAAAGTTTCCATTCTAAAACAAACATTCTTGTTAAATTATTGTAAATTTAAGTACATTAAGAAAACCAGAAGTTTTAATTTTATTTAAGAATAACTAGTGGAACACCCCTCCACCCCCAACTAGTGAGTAGGCTCAATAAGACACTTATTTGCTTATTTCTCTTTACTGTCATACAATTTCAAACAGGTACCAATGATATAGAAAACAGTAGTATGGTTAAGTTAGAAATCTTCAAAAACAAAAGACTAGAAATTCTCAGTCATGAGAAATCTAATAAGGCTTGAAATTCATTTCACTTTCTATGATCTATAAACACAGGATGGGACCTTCTAAAGATTTAATCCCTCTGCTCATCAAAAACTCTTCCCAACAGGGTGAAAAGAAAACCTACTGACTGAGAACAAATATTTGGCAATACCATCTCCGACAAGGGTCTCATAACTGAAGTTTACAGAATACTTCTGGTCCTCCAGAAGAAAAAACCCTGATAATCCAATTACAAAATTGGGCAAGAGACATGGAAAGACTTTTCACAAAGGAGGACATTCGGATGACCAACAGACACATGAAGAAATGTTCAAATCATGGGCAATAAGAGAGATGCAAATCAAAACCACAATGAGATATCATCTCACATCAGTAGCAGTGGCAATGTTTAGCGGGGCAGCAAGTAATACATATTGGTGAGGATGTGCTGAGAAAGGAACTCTTACACATTGTTGCTGAGATTGTAAAATGGTACAAACATTCTCCAAGGCAATTTGGTGTTTCTTCAAGAAGCTGAACATAGAAATTCCGTATGACCCAGCAATTTCACTGCTTGAAATATACCCTGAGCAAATGAGAACTGAGGCACAGAGACTTTTACACCAATGTTCATAGCAGTATTATTCACCATCACAAAAACATAGAAACAGCCTAAATGTCCAACCACAATCAAATGGATTGAGAAACTGTGGTGCATTCACACAATGGAAAACTATGC